TCCTCAGGCCCTTCTCAACTCACCGGAGGGACCAGCACCCAGCTCCCAGCTGAGGCTGGGCAACTGTGGGCACTCCCATCCCACCCGCTCACACATGCTCGCCAGACTGGAATATTTCTCGCCTCCTCCTGCCAGCCTCCCCCCCGGATGCTGTTCTACCTGTCAGCCAGGGAACTGGGAGTCTGTGCTTCCGTAGGCCCTTCCTCCAGGCCCCTCTGGTCGCCTTCACCCACGCTGAGCACCTGTACCAGCCTCATCTGGTGTCCCCAGTCCTCCTCCTGGCAGCCCCCTCACCGCCGAGCCACACCCCACAGCTGGCAGCTGACTCCCAGCTCTCAAACCCTGCTTAGGGTCATTTCCCCACTCAAGGACCCATAATGGCTCTTAGTGCTTAGCTCATCAAGTTCAAGTTCCCCAATATGACTGCTGGACTCCTCCCTTATGTGGCCCCTTCCTCCTTGGGTGGATTCCACTGCCTTTCCCTCTCTCCTCTCTATCCGCTCACACCTCCTCTCTGCTCACCATGAATGCCATGCTTGTTCCCACTCAGGCTGTTCCCGCCAGCACCCCAGCCAGAGCCACCAAGGTAAGGCAACACGGCCTGGCCCTCTCGTCTCCCCAGCAAGGACACTGAATTTGCCCTGGGCCCTATCGGTCTTGGTAATTTGTACCAAGGCCCTGCCCCTTCTCTACTTCAGCTCTGTCACCTTCTAAAAGGCCCTCTCTCCTTCTTCTCTCCTCTCTTCCATTGCTGAAATCTTACATTGGACTCAGAATAGGACTTCCTCAACCACTGCAGCACAAACATATCGCTTCCTACCCTGGACCCCAAAGGCTACCTCTCTGGTCAGAACCCCCCAGCCGAGCACTAATTGTTTCCATAATATAGTTCTCTCTCTCTCTTTCCCCCTGAGCATGGTCCCCCAAGGGCAGGACGCATCATCGGACTGGGGCCTCTCCCAGTGGGAGTCCTAGGGCAGGTGGTCAGCACATTCATGGATGCCTTGACCTCCAGGGACCATGTCCCTTCACAGCCCAACCTGAGGGCAGGACCTCAGTGGGCCCTGAGGATTTCCACCCAAGACTCCCCAGGAAGACAACCTCCCATCAGCAGCTGCCTTACCCCAATAGGTGTCAGTGAGTATGTGTCCCAGTGACAGCGACTCCCGTGATTGGCCCTGCTGTGCCATTGTAGGTGGTAGAGAGCTTTGCTGTTTCTGTAACTCAAGTCTCCTCCTCTCTATAGAAGCTCTGCCTACTAGGCTCCACTTTGGAGAGCAACAGAAAATAAGCAAATTTGCCCTTTCAGCACGTTCTCACTCCCATTCTGCACCCCCACCCCCCATATTTTCCCTCTCCAGACTAAGCCACTCTAGCTGTTGCACAAACTGGGATGTCCACCCGCCTCACCACTCTGGGAATCCTCTTTGGAAGGCAATGCCCAGAATTGCTCTCTTCTTTGAAGGCTTTCTCAGACTCATCTCTCCTGGCCTTGCTCCATTTTTAAGAATCCCCCCAAAAATGGCCACCCAGGACCCTCAATGTCCTCAGATGAAATTCATTAGGGCTGAAGTTCAAACTAACATAAGTGATCACTCCCCGGTCAGACACCCCCCCCCCCCAAGCTCCGATTCACAAGGACATCCCAAGCCCCCTCCGTGGGGCTGGCCCGGCTCCCCCAGTCCAGGTCCCCCGGGTGCCAGGCTGCATGTGCAGAGGGCTCAGCTTCCGGCCAACTTTGGTGGCCACTCGTTTGGCTATCACCCTCGGGAAATTCCTTTCGACTCTTATTTTTCAGAAGTTGAGAAAAGCTGCTTCAGCTCTTTCCAAGGATCAGGAGAGTCCACGGCAAACAAGGGCTCTCCCTCTCCATCCTGCCCCCACCCATGGAGCCCAGGAGGGACGTGACCACAGGACCCTGCTACCAAAGGCCTTAGCAACATCTGTTGAGTAAGACGAAAACACTGGTTGAAGATTAAGCCACTTTGCCCTGGCTGGCCTGGCACAGGCTGGGAAGTGTGTTTGGCTGGCGGAGCCCTGAGGCTGGGCTGAAATCCTATGTCCAGGGATGATGGTCCTGGTCCCAGGGGGGTAGAATTCAAGCAAAGTGGGTGAGCTGGGGACATAGAGAAAATATGACAGGCAGACAGACACACAGTGTGAGGCAAGGGGAGGGGGCAGGGAGGCCTGAGTCCAGCCTGCAGAGGCTGAAGGGCAGGCAGAGAATGGAAAAGGAAGGAAAAATACAGCCCGCCCTTTCCTCCCTCTTTGAACCGGCTCAGAGCACTTGCCTCGCCCTCAGTGAGGAAACAGGTGCTAAGTGCTCTCTGGGGGGAGCCAAACTTTCTCCCATTTCGCCTGGGCCACTTTCTCACTCCCTGGGGACAGCACTGAGCTTCCAGCTGGAGACAGGCCTCCCACCCAGCAGCAGTCCTGTTTACTGAGCACCTAATCTACCAGGCATTCCACTGAACGCCTGTCTCCCTGTCACTCAATAAACACGTACTGAGTACCTACTGTGTGCCAGACCATAGGGTTACAGCACTGAACACAACACAGAAAAATCCCTACTCAAGGAATTTACCTGCTGGTGGGGGCAGGGGGAGCCTCTTAAACAAGACAAGCAAATAAGACTCAGGGCTTATCAGATGGCGATGCATGCTGGGAGGCAAAGAAAGCAGGGAAGGGAGATAAGGTTGTTGGGGGAAGGAAAATGCTGACACTTGAGGGAAGGAAAGAGCCCTGAGGTATCTGTGGGGGGCGGGGGGGGGGGGGAGCATTCCAGGCAGAAGGAATAGCAAATGCAAAGGCCCGGAGGCAGCATCCTGACTGGTTTATTCAAAGACCAGCAGGAAGGGCTAGCGGAGTGAGTGAGCGAGGGGAAGATGAGGTCAGAGAGGAAACTCTCCTGGAGGCTGTGCGAGCCCATGGAAGAACCCCGGACTTTCACTCCCAGTAAAGTGGGCAGCCATTGGAGGGTCCTGAATACATGCTAATTCAACGGGTTAATTGCTCCTTTTCTTCTCTTAACCTTACAAGGTAAGTAGTATTTCCAACTCCCAATCTGCAGCGGGCAAACTAAGGTCAAGAAAGGTTAAGCAATGTGTCCAAGGTCACAGGGAACTGGGATCCACAGGGAGGTGGTCGAACTCCCCTGCTCTTGACCACTGTTGGGGGTCGGATCTGACTCAGGTGGGGGGACCTCTGAAAGCACAATCTGGTGTCACAGCCACTTCACCACCAGGTGGCTGACCAACCTCCGTGAAGGGCAGAGCCTGGGCACAGGTGGGGCGCATCACAGAGATGAGAAGATTCCCTGGCCTCCCTCCTTCTGGTGCTAACCACAACCTCTCCAGCTGGAATGCCAACCATTCCCTCTTGTCCCAACCCCTGACCCTTCCTCACATAAACAAAGCTCACTCCTGGTGGCCAGGCATCTGGCTTCTGCCTGGAGAGCTCTAAACCCCAGACCCCCCAGCCGTCCTAGACCAGCCAAGGACATTCTGTTCTCAGGGGCAGAGTGGCAGTTGGGTTGGAATGATGAGAGGTCTGCTCACCCCACCTCACCCCTCCTGCCCGCCCTCCACAGTGTCTCTCTGAAATCCCAGAGAGATTTCTTACTGGCAGCTCCAAAGCAGGCCTACACTCTGGCCTCATCCCTGCAGCACCCGGCTCGCCGCCCACCTACACCCGCTGCTGTTGTCAGATGACCTTCAACTGGGCTCCGCACAGTTGGGCTCCACATCTGGAGCAGCACAGCTGGGCAGAGCTGAGGCCCAGAAGGGAGGAGGGGCCGCTGCAAAGAAGGGACACACTTGGCAGGGCCTGAGCCCATGTGCAGAGAACGGTGGCGCTGTGCTGGGCCCAGGAGGCGTCTAAGAGCCACCAGCACTTTCACATACTTTAATTCATTCCATTAACAACCCTGAATGGAGGGAATACTTAATCAGCACTGAGAAGGCCTCTCGAGCATCTAGTTCAGCCATCTCTGTGACGGAAAGGGAAACTGATGTCCAGAAAGAGGGCGGGACAGGACCATTGCCACCTGGCAGAAGACCAGGTGGCCTGGCTGAGATTCCAGTATCCAGGCAGGGCAGGTCACTGCACAGGTGTGCAGACACCTGTAACTGCCAGACCCCATGACACCCTTGTCCCTCCCCCAGGTCCCCACCCACATCCGTGTCGTGACTTGCCTCTCTGCACCAGTGGGTCAAATTGTGACACAGGGCCCCTCCATGACTCTCCTCTGCACACACACACACATGCACAAGCACACACCTGCAGGCATGCAGGCTCCTCTCCTCCAGCCTCCAGGCCCTGCCCGCCTCCAGCAGTGGGCGAGGTGCAGGAGGGGCCTCTGAAGGGTAAGAAGGCAGTGAGAGGGCAGGAGGGAAAAGCTCCCAACATTTCCAATCAGCCCAGCTGGGATCAGTCCACAACTCACAGGAGCCCTGTCCCGTCCATGCTTTTCTGGAAGCCCCACTGGGGAAGGGAGGGAGGAGTGGAGGACACCCAAGAGCAGAAAAGCAGAATCAGCAAACAGCATGGAGGTGGAAGAGGCCACCTGAATGAGAGCAGCTGCCCAGGCAGATGAATCCTGTGGGTCATGCCGTCCATCCCCCTGCCTCCAGCTGAAGGGTACCCGACCCAGGACCAAGTGGGTGGGAGGAGATGCCATCCCCTAGTTCTGTAAGCTCCAGGACAACAGGCACCTGGCCAGGCCTTGCAGACAGGCAAGATGCCCTTTTATGGTTTTTTCCAAGGACTTTAGTCTCCAGATTGAAATAGGAGGCCCTGCATCCCATCAGAAGGGACCTCATGACTCATTTCCTCCCAGTCCAGCTTCAGCCTCTCGGAACAAGGCCCCCTCCTTTCCCTTACCTAATTACCCGGCACCCTTGGGGGCTGCCAGCATGCTTGGATCTGAAGTAAGCTGCAGCTGGGAGCAGAGGACAGAGGGGAGGAGGGGCTGGCAGGGTAGGGAACGGACTGTCACTCACCACCAATTCATGGTTGGATGGAGGAATGCAGGGGGCAGCCACCTGTGGGAGGAACAGAGAAAGGCAAGGTTAGCATCTTTCATTCCTACAGAAAACCAGGGCCTCCTGAGATCATTCCACAGCCGCCACCTCCATGCGAGACACCCCTTCCCTCAACTCACACACATGGACACTCTGCAGCCTGAGAGTTCACTGGAAGATCATGTGGCAACATGGAAAAATACTTAGGCAACACCGCTAGTGGGGAGGGGGGCTGCGAAAGGCAAAAATGAAATGCACATCGCTATTTTTAAATTCTGTAGAAATATGCAGACACTGAAAGACTGAAGGTCAATGCACCAGAATTTTCATAATGGGATTAAATGGTAAGAAAAATAAGGGTTTATTGTCTTTGTTCTTCTATTTTCTAAATTTTCTGCAATATGGTAAGATGTGTTTAGAATTTTTGTAAAACGTATTTAAGGTCTCTAGAAAGGGAAGAGTTGCCTGTTCGTTCTCCCCAATGCCAAGGTGTCTCACCCAGAGGTCAGAGTGCAGGCAGCTGGCAGCTTCCCAAAGCACGTGGGAAACAGGTGGGTGACGGGCCCCTGCCAGCTCTCCCAAAGAAAGCCACCCGTCACTAATAAACACAGAGGTCTGGAGAGCTGAAAGCACCCTCTATGGGTGAGCTATTATTTTATCATCATCCTCATCTTTTTTTCTCGGATGCCCGGGGGGGGGGGGGGGGCAGGTGGCAACTTGGGCCTCCAGACAGAGGGAGGGGGGGTAGAGGGAGGGCTGGATTGCTCCTACCCTAAGATAACATCCCTCAGCCAGGCCAGGCAGCCAAACCTCTACCCTGACAATTAGCAGGGGCCTTTATCAGAGACTCAATGTGTTCCTTTTTTCTAGCTGGGACACGTTTTTCTTGGAGCTCATACCTCAATCTTGGCTCCATTCCTGACCCGAGCACCAGGCAAGGGGCCCACAGAGGGAACGAAGGGGGAGGCTCTCCCTGGGGCATGAGGATGTCTGGTCACAAGCTGTGGATGGCCAAAGAGGGGGTGGCTGCCTCCTCGGAGAGTGTGAGACCCCCCACCCCCACCCCAGCCACCACCCAGTGGAGCAGTGACGGAGACAGCCCACAGCCCTGGCTGGGGCTGGCTGTTCATAGAGGCCACCCTTAGCCAGGCCCTCCCTCCATCTAACCTGTTCTGCCGTCTGACCAGCCTAAGGGATACCCCAGCTTGACACACCAGCTCAGAAGGGGACAACACCCACGTAACAGTGTGCCCTGAACCCTGGGAGGCTGGAGAGGCTGAAAGCATCTCTGCTTCTTGACTCAGCCATGCTACAGGCTCCCTGTCCCCCCACCTGCTCCCCACCTCCCCACCCATTCTCCAGCAAAGTGTCCATCACCCTGTACACCACTTTATCCTAGGACTGGTAGGAAAATCACATACAAAGCCAAAAATAGAGACAATATCTAACACTTACAGAATATGTACTATATGACAGGCATTAATATCAGTGCTTTGCCCACGTAAAGCTACTGTTATCCCTCTGGTTGAGGTGCAGGGGGCGCAGAGAAGTTAAACACTTGCCCAAAGTCACACAGCTGATCAGTGGAAGGGGTGGGGTGGAGGGTGCCAGGAGAAGAGACCAGGAGGAAGGGAAGGTCCCAGAGGTGACTGTGGCCTGAAGGGCTCTCTGCCCGCCTTGCCCACCAGACAAGGTCTCAGCCAGGGGGACACTGCCCTGCCTGCCAGGGTCAGGGCAGGAGTCTGCATCTAGCAGTGGCTTCCTCCCTCTCTCCTCCCACCTGCTGCCCCAAACCCCAGTCTGGAGCTTGTAGGTTTCACCTGATGAGGCCAGGCCCCCAGGGTCTTCTCTCGCCATTCCTGCTGTCACCCTTGGACAGTGCCCTCCGGTCCTTTCTTCCTTACACAAGGGTGGGTTTCCACTCTCCATTTGGGACTGGGGTTGGGGAAGTGAGGGGGTTACAAATACATTTTGGGAAGGGGCAGAACGGGCAGGCATCCTCAGAGAAAAGTGGGAGGGTCTCTCTCCCAGCACCACCCAAAGGCAGTGCAAAGAAGGGACCCCACATCTCTTTCCATCCCCCAGAGGCAGAGACAGCCCTAAGCAGAGTCAGCCCCTAAGGACTTGGATCTGGGGTGCAGCAGTGGGCCCCCAGCTAGAGGGCCTGATGCCTGGGTGCCCCCAAGACCTCTCCTGCCCACAGCTGTGCATGCCTGCCGGCCAGACCACTAACTTTGTTGTGTGTTTCTCTCTCTCTCTCTCTCTCTCTCTCTCTCTCTCTCTCTCTCTCTCTCTATTTTCTAAGCAGAGAAATGTTTCCTTAAAAGGCTCTCTCCTTCCCTCCGGCACCCTGGCCCCTGGCCACCCTCTCAGGAACCTGGAATGTGCCAGGGAGAGCCAAGGCCCCCTGCCACTCGGTGGCCTGTTCCCTGTGGCCCCACACTCCTGGTGTCAGCAGTGACCACTCCCCCTGCCCCGTGGGGACCCAAGCAAGGGTCCTCCCTCTGCAAAGGGGTGACTCCAGGGGGTCTGCAGGGACTCTCAATGCCAGCCCTGCCACCCGCCCAGTCCCAGGGCTGGCAGCATAGCGTTGCAGGGCTCGGACCCAGGAAGTCAGCCTCAGGTGAGCCTCCTCCAACGACTCACCTACACACTGTGGGCTGAGCGGGCCTGAGGCTCAGTCTTTCAACTCTGAAGAATCTAATAATAAAACAGCAGCACAGCCACTACTCCCATCACACTTGTGACAGGCCAGCCCTGTTCTTCACACTTTGTGTAAATTAACTCTCCAATTCTCACAGCAGCCCAGAGCATCCCATTCTGTGGATGAGGAGACTGCGGCACAGGGAGGTGAACAAGCTGTCCCACAGAGGAGCCCGGCTGCCAAGCCAGCAGTCTGGCTCCAGGGAGAGGCATGCCCTACCCTCTCTGCCCCCTGTGCTGACTCTCCGGTAAACACTACTTTCCACGGAGCCATTCACAACGACAGCAGTGACAGCTTAAGGAGCGCAGCTCTGTGACAGCTACTGTCCTGAGCCCTTTCCTTGGGCTCACTTTATCCTAATGAAGAATGTATGGGGTAGATACTGTTATTACCCCCATTTCACAGATGAAGACACTACGGCACAGAAAAGGGAAGGATGTGCCCCAGGCCAGTGCAGCAGGGCAGTCTGGCTCCAGAGCCTGTGAGGGAGAGCTGGGGCTGCAGCCAGGAGGTGAGTGTTACCAGGCCCAGGCCAGGGCCGAGGCCTGGCATTCGTCAGCCCCCACCAGTATTTTCTGAACTTCCAAAGTCCCTGGGCACAAGGCCAACAACAAGGATGTGTCCTTGGAGCCCCACCTCCCCCACCCCAGGACATGAGGGTCTAAAGCGCCAGCCAGCAGCCAGCCCAGGCGGGGAGCTGCCTGCATGACCCGGCCCTGCTCTCCTCTCCACTGTCATTCTGTACCCACCCTCCTTGTCCGGGACCCAAAGCCACACATAACGGTGAGTTCCTCTCAGTGCCTTGAACACCTAGCTCTGTTCTTCCTCCGGGCCTCTGCACTGCTGTTCCCTCTGCCTGAGATGCGCTTAGCCCAGCTGTGAGCATAGCTGGGTCCTTCCCA